AACAAAATCCCTCGGGAGTTTAGAATTAACTGTAAGAATGTTGGGGGCGTGCGGTACTACAGTGGTGTGTCAGTGTGCATTATATGTGCTGTGGTCGACGATACAAAACGCAAATGTAAAACACGAATACTCCTGCAGCGCGAGACCGCATATGAACAACTAGGGCACCGTCCTATTCCGCAGTCTTTGCCTTCCCCACCATACAGCAAAGATGTGCGGTGAAGCGTGCTTCGGCGAACTTGGAGCACTGGGCTTTGACGTCGCCATTATTCCGTCGCTGTCAATCTACCTGACTGCTAATGCAGTAGAAGGGTCGTGAGCTGGGCGAGTCAGTAAGTTGGTAGCCGGATCAAAGACTGAGTTGTGAGTTCAGCGTCTGTCCTGTCCATCGTATTCTTCTAGTTTCCTACCTGTTTTCGCTGATTTTAACCATGTTGCTACGGCATGAGAGCTTTCTTCCCGTTTCTATGGCTTCCAAAGCTCGCATAAATATAGAAAAAATAAACAAATAAGCCGTGAAAGGGCGAAAAAGACGCCAAGGGCTACGCATGACTAATCCCCACCTTGGCTGGTGGACGGGATGGTTTTCTGATTTCCACGGTGCCGTGAAACATGAACCCAGAAGCTCCTCGTAATCTCTTTCGACAAAAGGAAGTCTCAAAATATTCGCACTTCGTCGCTTCGAGAGAAATTCACCATATTTTTCCCTAAGGCTTGTGAACACTTTCTGCTTGGATCTTGACTCCATTATTGCACCAGAACACTTTGGTTGGTGCACTACGATTGACGAATTAAAGTATTTCTCGTACATCGTACAGTCCGGACGAATTTGCCGCAAATTGGGGATAAACAAAAGATGTCGGATTTCAAATGTATCTGACTGAAATATAATCCTTCCGGAAAGTCGTGCCGACGTTCCGAAAAGGCGGCGCAGGTGTTGCGATCTTCATGCCATGCGTTCCGAAGGCCAAACCCTTTTCAATGGCGCCGCGTGATCAATCAAAAGTAGTGGGTAATGTTCTTCGACGAAACCTTTTCGAAATGCTAGCGCTATGGAATGTAGTGAGAGGCGTGGGGTTTGAGAGTGACTGACACTCGAGCTCCGCAGAAAAGGGCACAATGGGCGTACGCACGCGAATCGGCTTTGACGAAATGCGTTTGTGTGACTTGCTTAGCAGCCGCTTGTTCGTGGTTTCATGGGTCCGATTGCTCATCCCGGTACCATTCTGATCTGGACGAGCGTCGTACTGGAGCGTGCAGTCGTGTAATCACCACTGCGTATGGTGTACGTCAAAACTGCACGTTAGCAGTCGTACTACAATGGCTACATTTTTCTTCTACAGCGTGAACCAACAATAATGCGTCTACGTAGTGCCCGCTAAAGACCCAGGGTTACCAATCGTACCGGAGTAGATATATACTTATCACCTGCAGCTAAACATCTCAAATCTAGTCTGGCTTACTTTTTTCTTGTCTTTCATTGCTAAGGTAGCTTTGCCAGCAACCGTTTCTTACGTCGCTGTCACGACTCAACGAAATGGAACCCAAGTGTAAAGTGACTGCGCCTAAGCTGCTCTCCACTTTACCCCCATTGCCTTCCCAAGACGATTCTATTACAGTCCAGAATGGCCGCGAGGTAAGCGACTCCGCTGTGTCAACACACACACACATACGCACACAGACCCGGGTGTGCACGCACGCACGTGGCCTTTTTCGCCCCAATCGATCCGGTCCTTGGAGCGCACCGACTGTCCGACGCACACAGACCGGTCCACTTCGGCGAGAGTGCGCGCACAATGGAGCGTCGTTACCGTCCATTACATTGGGCGCAAAACGAAACTCGAGTGGCGGTCGCATAATTATGCTAATTCCTCGACCGGAGTCGGCCCTCCCTCGCCGGACCAATCGGCACAATGAAAGAACCCCCCTCGACTAATTTGCCGAGGTATAAGATCTATCGGGGAACGCTTACAGGGTTTCGGCAATGAGAGGGCTTTTGTGGGCCGGAAACGCCGTGGCTGCCGTAAACAAAAGAGAGTTATGTATCGAATGCCGTCCTCTTAAAAACCGAGAGGAACTTTCTTTTTTTTTTTTTTTTTTTAGCTGGCAGGGAGAAAGTTAGCCTGTTGCGCCATGGAGCTCCTGCGCCGTCATGAGCTCCTGCGTCGAGTCTCTCTCGTAAAATAGTTTGTGCGTCTACTTTCACGCTCAACACTCGGAGAGCCAATCACCGCAATGTACGGAACCAGCTCAGCGAATGACATTGCCGAAACATAGGTTTATACCGAAAAACGCAGTCTGAGTTGTGACACTAAGCAATGCAAAACGTCACGCTTGCATTGCTTAATGTCACAACTCAGACTGCGTCTTTTGGTCTAAACATATGTTTCGGCATTTTCATTCGCTGAGCTGCCCTTGTAAGTTGCGGTGATTGGCTCTCCGAGTGTTGTGCGGGAAAGCAGACTCACGTTTTTTTTTAGAGTGTACATATTTATACTACGTTTCACTCCGTGTCCGACCGCAACCAGCGCTATGATCTAATGGTGTCAAACAGCGTCAAAAGTGGGTCGTCATGCACGTCGTTCGCCGTATTATTTGTGCGTTCACGATTCCCGGCTAAACCTGTGCCATGCACTCTGAGATATAGGGGCCGTAGTACTTGCACCCCACCCCTCGTCCCATGTGTGCCAGCTCAGAACTACGTTTCGACGTTTTAGTCCACTAACGTCGAACAGATGATACCAACGTTTTACGAGTGGCTTGATAGCTGTTGCATAGAGCTTACTAAATAGCTAATGGACGTATAGAGTTCCGTAGAACAAAAAGAAAACACAAAAAAACAAAGAAGAACACTGAGGTTTTGCAGCACGGCCAACGAGTCCTCGAGTGTTTTTTTACTGCACACTCTTGAACGCGTTGTTGTTGTAGTTTTTGGGGTGTTATGTATGTGGGACAAGAGGGTGTAGGTACAACACCCCCTATTTCTGAGAGTGTTCGAACAGTAAACTCCCGACAATCGTGCGTAAATGTTTTTTTTTTTTTTTTTTTGTGAGCGTGATTGTTTTTGTCGGCGGTGGCAAAACGCACAAAGACGACAAGCGCCATTACGACGCATTTCTAGCGCTGCTTGCCGGTCTCGGATTGGATCGGATCGTAGTTTGATCGGCTGCAGTCGGACTTAACCTTAAACAGGGTAAAGAGGAAGAGGGATATTTCAGCTGCGTGGTGCACTCGGACCAATCTGGAGCGTCCACTTTCCCGCAACGCACTTTAGAGCGCCAATCGCTGCAACCTGCGGAGTGCTCGGTGATCTTCCGCCTCGCCAATTGGCCAAGCCTCCCTCCGCAGAATGCCGCGATTGGCTCCCCCGAGTGTTTTCCGGGAAAGTAGACGCTACAGAGTTCTCAGAACGTGGCTTATCCCGCCACCGAAGCTCATGCGCCATTTTATAGCGTTGGCTTTTTTTTTTTTTTTTTCACAATAAGGAAAAAAAAAACGCGAATCTACGAAGAGTTTATCTTAAAGAGGCACGGCGTCTTCTAGAAGACGCGGTGAAAATAAAGAAATAAAATAGGCGTGTAGGGAATCTAGTGATCGGAGGACAATGCAAAACCTTTAAGACAGATGGGCGTGCGAGTGCGCTGTCGAATGCACGGATTGCGGAATGGCTCCCAAATACCTTCCAAGTCCAATTCCCTCGAACGTCTTCTTCTTCTCCTTTGTTGCTTTTTTTGTGTATTTGCCCGAGAGGAAGGGTTACAACTTCGCTTCGGGCGGCATTCGTCGACGTAAGCGTTCAAAAGAGGAGTGGTTGGGCTTCGCTGCAGCGACGGCCTGCCTACGATTCGCCTCTCTTTTTCGCCGGTCCTCGACGGCGGATAAAAACGCGTCTCGCATTGCAGCTAAGTAAGTTATCGAGAATGGCAAGCGATACACAGACAAGCGCATAGACGTCAAGACCACCGACTCAGAATCATTCATGGGGGGGAGGGCTTATACGAAAGGAAGAGAAAACAAAAATAGACCGCTGAAGAGAACCAGAGCGAAAATAAGATACAGCGAGGGGGAAAAAAAAGAGAAAAGCAAAGACAGGAATAACGAACGGCGCCGATCCTCGGAGCGGGGGCTTTGAAAAAGAACTCGCGAAGAAAGGCCAAGAGCTAGAAAGTCCACTGGCGTTCGATCCATTCGGAGCTCGGGCGCTGCTTCGAACGGAGCGGGCTCCTAGAAACACGAAGCGGTGCCCCCGCCAAGAGCACTTCAACTCGTGTAGATCCTCGCGCGGACCAATTCTCTAAGCGATGAGTACGCTCGCGCGAGGAACTACTCAATTCGTTATCGAGGCGCTCGGTCTTAGGTCCTTTTGTCGACGACGTCTATTTCGAAGATGAGCGGCGTACAACTCCGGTTTGGGCATGTGCGGGCTCATGCACATTACACGAAAAACATAGGTCTTAAACAGGAAGCTATTTAGATAAGGAAGCCTGACTCTTCACTCCGCAAACCTCTCATACCTTGATCCTGGCTTTCGGCACTGCGTGAACTTCGCGCCCAAGTGGTAAACATACCCTTTGAGCTTATTTGTGGTACGACAGAGAGCGATTACTGGAGTTATTGTGAATGTTACATCTCTGGCACGTGATGGCGCGTGTACCAACTCTCGCGTGAACTGCGTGAACCCTTGCGCGGGATAGGTGAATCAGTTTCCGTGGCCGGGTGTGTAAGCACGGAGACGGACAAGTCCGCATGTTCGCCGACCGGCGGCAAGCAGCGAGAGAGGCAAGTGCTGCCGCTCGCCCTGCCCCCCTCGCCGACGAAAGAACTACTGCCCACCGGGAAAACGTGGGGAGGGGAGCGCACGGCGTGCGCCCAGAGTTTGAACTCGGGGTCGCAACCCAACTTTTTTACCGGGGTTCCAGGGCCCACGGGAGAACGCAGCAAGGCCTAGCGTGCATCTCCGCGCGCTCCCCGACGAAGTATAGGTAGAGAGGAAGACTCACCGGGCGCGGTCTGCCAGCTCAGGCCCCCGATGAACATTTTCCTGCAAGACAACAAGAGGAGGGGCGTCAGCTGGGCCGCCGGCGGCTCGCGGTCTGCGCCCTTCCCGCCGCGCTCTCCCAGCCTCCGTCGGGATGCGGAAGAAAAACACACCCGGGGTCGTGGGCCGCTTCGTTGGGGCTGGCCGAGTTACTCTGCTGGCTGTCGGTTTCCATGATCATGGTCGTGACACAACCGCACTGGCGCGCGACGGCAGGACCGATTGGGAGCTCCCGTGCCGTGCGAAACTGAGGGAACGAGCAACGCGCGCGCGCCGGTCTGCTGCTTGCCGCTACACACTACCACGAGCACACGGGCAGCCGACGAGGATCGACGAACACGGAGCCGAAGGGAGCCACTGCGGCGGCACACGGGGACTGGGGTGCGGGTACACTCCGCTGGGTCCTAGTGGCGAGCAGGGTGTCGGACGCTGCTGGCTGGAAGCGGCCGCTCTCGTACACAGGGTCCGGGACCCTCGCCGCAGGCCTCGACTGACAGTTCCACGACGCTTTTGGCTCGCACGGGAACTCCGCCGAGGCGCCGCAGCCGCGCAGGGGGCGCCACGGGAGGCTCCACCGCGAAGCCGGCACGAGGCGCGCCCATTGGCCCGAGGGGCCCGGCTCAGGCGTGACGTCAAAGTGACGTCACGCGCTGCGCATCCTCCCTCTGCCTTTCGGAACCCCGCTCCGCTTTGAAGGCGGAGGACGCGGCGCTGGCCACGGTGGCGCCACCTCGGAGCGCTTGCGCGAGGTACGACGAGGAATTAGGGTGGGGGAGGATGGCAGGAGAAGATGAGAAGAAAAGCGCTACAGCCCTTCCCCACCAATGATGATGGTTGTTGTTATGTTACGCGGTGGGTTTTGTTTGCTTCCAGAGGTCGTTAAATTTAATTACGGTGAGAGATACTCGGCGCGAGAAACAGGAGGCTGGAAAAACCATGTCTTCGGCGGGAGAGCGCGGCGATGGGGTGGCTCGTCCGGCGAAAGATGCGCAAAGTTATCCGCGAGGTCGTCGAAAGCGAACTCTTCGTTAATGAAGTTATTATCCGGCCGTAACGTAAACGCGCCCTCTCTCGCGGTCCCGGTGCAGTACTCGTGGAGGACGATCAATTAGCGAGCGGTTAGGGAAGGGGTTGCAAAAAGCTGCGTTACCCAAAACAGACCGTACGCCAAAAACGTAAAGCGGGTATGCGGGCGGGGATATTTTTGGAAAAAGAAAAGTTGTCGGTGGGCGCACGTGCGCGTGAAGAAGATCCGCGCAGTGTTTACCCTAGCCTTTCAAGAAGGTGCTCTTGGAAGAGGGGCATCTTACGAGTGTGATCATTTCCTGGTTATGGTCGTTTCTGATGAAACTGGCCCCGTGTTTTGGTTGCTGGTCCTGCTTTTGGTTGTAGGAAAGATTAAAAATCAGCGTTGTATAATTGTGCCAGTCGTGGCTGTTTATGAAGATTGTGCAGTCTATGTCCATCATTGTCCGTCACGGACACACGCCTCCGCCCGCAGTATTGAAAGCTCTTTCTGTGCTCCAATCATTGAGAAGTTTTAACATATTGTTTTCCCCTGCCCGTAATGGCTGTTGGCGCGCTTCAGAGCATGCTTTGATCGCAGTGCTCCAGTCGACTAAGACACACCATTCATAACGGCTCGAGGACCTCGGCACACAGCAATGATTAGCCACGAACGCGAACCAAACTCTCCGCCGATGAATGGGATTTGTTACGTCTAATCTACACGAACACTGTCAGGTATTTTAACTTGTCAATTGTTAATGAAGCAACCGGCCACCATTCAAAGAAGAGGAATATTCCCGAGCACATGCCGACTGGTGAAGTGTGATCGCGATCAACCTGCGTGCATTATTCAACTAAAAAAAGAAATTAATAATAACATACATATACATATATATATATATATTCTTTTTTGTTTTTTCTTACGTTCTTAGTTGCGTTTTTGTTTCCACCGAGGTATGCACGAGGGCAACGTTCTGTGGATTTGCAGAACTGAAGAGTGCGCATGTTCAGCTTTGGTCAGCGCCTTAAGGTGCACGACAGTTTCCGCATAACCGAGGCCTCACTGCCACAGAAAGTGGTCCCTGGGACATAGTTACACAGCACGCTATTCGATTAATAAAGACTCAAACCGAATATCACTTCACAGTTTATTTAAACTAAGCAGATAACAAAACGTATACCATAGGTTGTTACACAATCGCAGTATGGAGCCCACTGACAGTCTTGGAGAGTTTTTTGGTCGCAACCAGGCCATTGTTCCGACTACATGACCCAAATCAGGCCCAAATCAATTTACCGCGCTTGCTCGTTTCTTCTAATGACAAACCGTCGATACTCGCCAGGTCGTGCCACGGAAGAACAATCGAGAGTTCTGGTGAGTCTGTCGAATGTGGGAATGAATCTGCGCCAAGCCCTGCTCACAATCTGCTGTCGTAACAGACGAAATCGTGAGGACTCTACACAACGACTCGTCCTTTGTCCCGTTCTGACAATCCCCTCGGTCCACGAATCTCAAGGATGAATAATCGTATGTAACACCACGAAAAAATAAAAAATGGCTTGACGTGCATTATTTTGGAGCTTGAGCATCGAAAGCAACAAAAGCTTCAGTTGTGAGAGAATCGCACGGTGCGAGGGTGTGTGTGTCTATCCTGAAATAAAATTAATTACACAAGGTTCAATCTGCGGAGTACAGAGGAGCTCAACGACGTTTCAAACTCATTCGGGTCGCCTTTTGGAGGTTTAGCGACCTTAACCCAAACACCAGCTGCCGGGCTAGAAGCGCAAGCTCTTCGGCTTTGAACGCGTTTCGGCTTACTACGAAATCTACCCTCTCGTACTTGTAGCCTTCTATACTTGGCGTCAACTTTATGTGGGAACCCTACACGGACCATGTTTGTTCGTGTTAGTGTTGGTTGAACCGTATCAAGAGCGATGAGAGAGTGTGTTAGTTATAGAGCGCAGCTGTCGGTTCGACGTCATAGCGCGCCCAGTCAAGGGCGCTGCGCCGCGCGGGGTGGTAATAGATGCACCAGCACTCCCTTCCTCCTCTTCCTTTGCTGCGAAGCCACGAGGACTGTGTAGTAGGGTAGGTAGGAACTGCGTGTTAGTGCTATCGCACCTCCATTGCATTTGACTGACTGTCTTAGCTGACAAGGCTATAGGCCCGTTTCTCTTGGCCAGGGAGCGCTGTAGCGTCCACAGGACGCAACCACGAAAGATGCGCCACCGCTAGTATGGTGCCTAAAACACGTTTCCCTCCAACTAATGTGTTTACCGCTTCCAAAAAAAAAAAAAAAATGGCGCTTTCATTTTTGGCTGATGACGTCATACGAGTGTCACGCTGTCGCCAGTCGCGATCCTGGAGGTGTCCCAGCAGTGGGGGTGAACGTGGCAGCCGCCTGTTCCGCTAAAGGTCGCTCTCCACTGTGTCAGTCCACGGACGCTTGCAGCCAGGTGTTGGGACGCCCTGACAAAAGCGACACTCGTGTTCCCTCGTGCATTTTGGCCACCAGTATTTCTGTGACCAACCGCCAGGATTCCGACATCTGACAGCATGACACTCCGGGTTCTGTGACGCCATTTGTTGTCACTTCGAGACCCCTTTTAACGTATATGGGCGGGATTGGACGCTAAACACACCGGCAGTTAGAGACGTGTTCCAAGCACCATACCACTGGACGCCATATTTGAGGGCAATGTTTAGAGCGCATGCTCCGAACGAGCTCACATTAATATCCCGCTAAGACCGGCAACCTTGATGGTGCTAAATGCACGCTCCAAAAGGACTGCGGAAGCTGGCCGTCAGCGCGCGCTCAGCAGCAGCGCACACGGATATGGCTGCCAGTGAATGCTCCCTATAACGTCCGGGAGACGCGCGTCCAGTTAATGCCGATGTAAAGCGGCCTCTTATAGCGACCCACCGTGCACGAACCGCGGGCAAAAATTTGCGACTCTCAGCGGCCCTCCGCGTCTGTCCGTGGGCACTATATCAGTGCGTTTTTGAAAGGACACAACGCTACGCACAACGGAAACCCCACCTAAAAATACCAGAACACGCTCGCCAGGAGCGCTGCTCGAAATTTGAAAGCCACATATCTACACTCCGTTTTGATTTAAAGTCCGACCGCGGCCCAATGACCAAGCAGCGCCAAAAGTGCACCGTCATGGCGATCGTCTTCGTGGGTATGCTATCACAAACTAAACCATAGCCTCCTCTATATTCACAAAGCCTGGCAGTTCGACGACTGGCCATAGAGGGCCCGGTCGCAGATTTGGAGCGCGAGGATCTGGTATCACAGAGCATCAAAGAGCCATTTCTCGGCGAACCTGGAGGCCAGCGCACAGCGTCTGCAGTGGGGAGGACCCGAAACACACTTGTTCGCTCGGGAAGAGTGTGTTTCGGCGTCTCGCCGCAGCGGGGCGCCAGTCACGTTGCTCTCCTCTCATCCGTTGTCTGCCGCTCCACCTTTTCTATTTCGGCGGCTGCTTCTCGTGGCGATCTGCCAGGCTTTGCCAGTATAGAGGAGGCCATGACTAAACCAACCGCGCACAAAAATAAAGAAAAAGCGCATGATTGTGAAGGTAACGTAGTACTCACTGGGGAGGCACTCACTTGATCGAATGACGTTTTAGCGAACGCCCACGTTTCACCGAATGACACTTCAGCGAATAGTCGGACGCCGCGAGGCGGCGTTTACGGGTGGGCCAAATGGGTTCACATTTTTGTAATGAGCCGCCGCAGACTGTCGCCGAGAAGCGGCGAAAGCGCAGCGCGGCGGATGGGTTAACGCGCGCCCCCGTTATTCGCTAAAATGTCCATTCACTCAAATGTCGCTGTTCGCTAAAACGTCATTCGCTCATGTAATATGAACCCCACTCGCTGTGCGTGATTGGTTTAGTCGCCGAACGGGCGAAGCCAATGAAAGCCGTGACGATTCACCTCTTGGCGCTGCCTGCTTAACAACTCCATCGGATCGCCGGCTGCGGTAGCACTTAAAGTGGCGTATAGTTTCCACACCGCCCTCCGCCCTCCCCCTACTAAAAGCAGTTGTATTGAACCGATAATTTATTTTATCATCTACAGCTTGAACCAGCGTTGTCATAACTCAGAGGCAGAATGACCTGAAGCTGTCTAAACACTGACGATTAATTTTATATTTTGTTCTTCGTCGGATGTCACATAACTAAAAAAGAGAGAGAGAGAGAGAGATAAGACACTGTTGAGGAAACCCGTGTGCGAACAGGCGCAGTTGAGTGCTGATTTGCAAACCAACTTCCCGACGTAGGTTGATGAGAGTCTCATGAGTGGCACCCTAAAGTTACAAATCGTGACGTATCACTGCAGTATGGGCAGCGTATTACGAATGCTCGTTTCAATTATACCTTACGTTATGCGTTACCTGACAAATGCGAACTGAATTCGTTTGAAGTTACATATTGTGTAGTCGGTACGTCGAGTTGCCAAAGTTCTCCACCGTAGCCTTAAAAAAAGAAAAAAAAA